TAGTGCATAAATTTTAATTTCCATGATACATCATACACTACCAATTAACTAATATGTCACGTCAGTTTTGCTTAATATAAACTAAATGAATGTACTTAATAAATCATTTCTCATATTACTTGTATACGCTGTGATCCTTCAACCATTTTTTGCATTGGAAAACAACGCGTTTTGGCTCTTTGAAGGCGGAAAAAGATAAAGTAAAAGTCATATGTTTCACAAGGCGATTAGTTTTTCCTCTCAAACCAAGTAATATGGCTTCAAGTTGAGATTATTTGAAGAAGAATGAAATTGTTGATTGTTGAGTTTGTCATTTTTCAATGGCTCTTCATTCAAATCATAATACATCAAACGCTGATCTATTCAAGTCACGATGTTTAGAATGCTGAGTAGATCCGTCAACCCACTTAATTCAAATTCGAAGGTGCCAAGATTTGAGAGGACAATGAATTGGAACAAATAACAAATGAGTAATGCTATGTAGTTTTATTGAATTTGCAACTACAGTTAAGGTGGCACTAGATAATATACTAAATAAAAGGTGGAATTAAATGAACCCCAGTGAAATTAAATAGCATTACTCATAACAAATGGATTTGGTGTAACAATTGGTGGCCAAAACCATGATTGGATATTAATGTACCTACCAACTACAAAAAATTGCAACGCATATTTCCATTGATTATTACAACTACCTACTGTCCTCCAACATTTATTGTTGCTTTGAGTACTAGAAATTTCTTCAAACTTTAAAGATAATCAGTATTTCTATGTCGAAAAGATATTTGAGATGAGTGCGTTATGATTGTTCTGAACTTTTATATCATATTTAAAACGTTATACTGAATATGATTAAACCCTCCATATTTATGTTTCTCAAATATCAATATAGATTAAAGAAGTCAATTAATTGCCAAAAACAACTTGAATATATAAACACTATATTATACTAACCAATTTTTCAGCCATCTCGGACCTTCAAGGAGAGAAACCCGGTCTTAAATGTCAATGTACCTTTCGTCATTCGCCTGGTAGTACGTGAAATTGTATTTCTTTTCTGATTTTCTTGATCTAGTATGAACTAACATTGTTTTAGTCAATTTTTGATCAAATTTCATGTTTATATTATAATATTTGAAAATAGGAACATATTAGGTCACTAAGACGTCAATTTTAAATTGCTAACTAAAATAATATATTTTTGCATTCAATAATTTGACATAGTTGTGATGCTAATGGGAAACAAAAGATAAGAACAAAGTTGTTCTTAATTGGAAAGAAAAGACAAGAACATAGTTCTTGATGTAGTTTTTTGTTTTTCCTCGAGCGCTGTCCTTTTTTCATTTTTCTCCATCTTGTGTTTTATAGTAAGATTCTAGTATAATCAATCTTGTAATTAGCATATATTTTTACAATGCATTGACATATTTAATATGCAAAATTGAACGAGATTCGATAAGATAAATAGGTTGCATAAAATAATGTATATTGCCATGTCTTTAATGGTATGATTTTTTAAATATTTATTGAAAAGCTTTCATATTGAATAAGATGACTAGTATAACTATGTTGTAAATGATTGCCTTTTTTTTTTTAATTTATATTACTTCAATTTGGATCAAATCAATCCTGTCTCTGAAAATTATGTAGTTCGATCCAACTGACACCTAGAGGGGATGAATAGTTGTTTGTACAGAAGATAAACAAATTAATTAATAATTGCAACAAGTCACAGTTATTAATTAGCTCAGATGAATTCACATGAAATTTATCCTATGTTGAATTGTCGCAGTATAATAAATTACTGAAAAATAAATAATATATGATATTTATTGATGGAGAAAATCCCTCATGGGATTAAAAATCTCCAGGCCCAAGCTAGTATGAATCCACTACAAACAAATCAACTTACAGTACTACCAAACTCGATCAACACAAGTACTTTCTAACCTCCTGACTGTAATTCCCAAAACCTTCCTAGATTGCGTGCTCCCACACCAACTCCTAACTTTCTGATTTCGTCTATCTCCTGTGGATTCTCGAGAACTCCTTGTTCTCCAACAACTAGAACTCTGATCACCTTCCTTGATTTTCAACCTTTGACAGATACTCTAAAAGTATGAGTTTTTTGTATTTGATTTATGGGTTTTGGGGTTTTTCAATTGAAACACTCAAGGATGAATGGATTGAAAGATATGGAAATAGTATACGTATTTTCTCACAATGTTCAATTCGAGGTTTTTCTTGAACCTGTGTAGGTATTTATATAATGGACGTTTTTCGTCGTATGGTCCGATTAAAATTCTCGAAAATCGCAAATTAGGGTTTTTAGTATATATTGCCACTCGAGCGACAGCTCAGCAAAAAGCGAGCGACAGTGTTTCATTTCGCTCGAGCGACGTCTTAGCGACAATATACCGAAAATCATTTGGTTTTTGAGCTCAAGCAGTTTCTTAGCGAGAGGTAAGTGAAATTGCAATGACTTTTCTTTCCTTACTGCAAGCTCGAATCCTATCCTACCTAACACATCTACACAAAATTGCACCTAACTCCTTAACTTTTACACATTTTCAATTAAATCGTTTTTGTTCACAGAATCGCCAATTACATTAAAACATAACAAACTCCTCATTTAGCATTCTATGACAAAACATCTATTACATAAAAGATAACTAACAATATCTACCCAAAACAACTGACTCTAGCTTCGCCTTTACCAAACGTGTTTCTTGAAATCACAACTCACATATCCAGTGTAAAAGCATGTGAAACAGTAACATAAGTAAAAGTAGTTAAAGACAATTCTCAATAAATGCAAAATCATATCGATTAGATTAAGATAAAATATTGATGTAAACCAAAGCACGAAAAAGAACATATATCAATATTGCAAACATCAAAACTTAATCTAGCAATGTATCTCAAAAAAAAAATGTCAATCCAAAATTCTTTTTTCTTTTTATGAAAATATGGCACGCACTTCAACATGTATGTCATCCCAAAATGCACTCGATCACAAACACGACACACTCAACGAATAGAATCACTGCCTCAAACACAGATCAAGTTCAAACAGAATAAGTTGTATATGTGACGTATACGTGAAAAGTGCCATTAATTTTAAGTAAACAAGAATCCAAACCTTAAATTTTGTGAGAAGGGACAAGCTAAGATCACTGTAGAATGAGTGCATTATTCTCTTAATGAAAGTTAAATCCAGCATCATGAGGACCTGTAGATATTGATAGACAGTGTTTATGTTTTCTCCTCATAACTATATATATATGTTTGAGTCAAATAGGCTTCGAAGACAAGTATAAAATAAATTATGATTAGAACCATTTCTCAATTTTTCTTAGGGAAAAACACACAACATGAGATCACACTAGGTACAGATCAATTCACGGTCAATGTAACCTTATCAACAGAGAACAGCCATCTCATATCTCACAAATGCAATTAAGACTTACTTATAAGGTCTTAGTGTGTGATGTGCAGATAATATATATGGAGAAGCATATACCACAAACTCCGCATAAACTTAAATCAAGTGATGGAAATACAAAGCTATTCATATATTGAATGCGTATCTGATAACAAAATGCAATATCAAGGAAAACAAACACGATGCTACACTTTTTTTTTCTTTTTTTTTTTTCTTTTTTTGGTTCAATATTGAAATGCATTAGTAACAAACATAGGCAAAGAAAAAAAATGTATACATAGAATGAAGTTAATGCAATAATGAATGAATATAATGTGCTATACATACATGTTTCTAAGTACGTGATCAAGGAGGTACAAAGACGCCAACAACTTTCCTAAGCAATTTAAATCTCAATCCATCTAAAGGTTTGGTAAACAGGTCGGTTAGTTGGTTTTCAATAAAGATGGGTTCAAGGGACACTACTGCAGTCTTTATAAGTTCTTGAATGAAGTGATGTCTAATATCAATATGTTTGGTTCAAAAGTATTGAATAGGATTTTTGAAATATGAGGGAATGTTAGATATAAGTAAAGTGAATTGCATTTAGACGGACCTCCAGAAAGAGTTGGATCGACTACTTCCAGTAATGAGGGATGTGGAATATGGATGGAGACAGACCTCTGCTCTTGGATACTTGACGTGGGCTTAGATATAAGTAAAGTGAATTGCATTTAGACCACTTAGAGTGCTTTAGATGCATTGTATTAAATAGTTGGGTTTTGTTTGAGATTGACAGACTGTGCAGATGAATGGAAGGAAATTAAAGATTTGTTTAGATTTTTTTTAGTGCCTCCCAAATATGGTGGAGGCTAAAAAAGTTGGTCATGTGCAGTTGGAGGAGAACAAACTATCTAGCTCTCGTTTGGCCCCCATTGTGGGTACGATTTATAGTTTGGACAGAGGAATCCAAAGACGTGTTAAAATTAATGGTGATAGTGAAGGCAACAAAAAAATTGTACGAAGATTAACATCTATAGTTCCTTTTTTTGTACATCTAGAGTGAAGTTACTTCATTACTTGAAAGATGATGGTTATGCGATTAACATTGGTGCTTGTGTATTTATTTTCTGATAGTATTTGAAGTCATCATTACTAATATTCTCATGCCACTTACAAGATGGAGTACATATACAACATCGGAGATCGATGTGATGCAAAGGTCACAACACGTTTTAACGTGTCAAGTGTGGAGAAAGTATATGATGCATTAGATGATGGTCATAAGAAGATGTTCTTGAATTCGTGCTTCGGTAAATTATACAACATTAGGAATATGAAAATATCTGCCCAACTAATTCACAACTTGTTATTACGACAGGTTGTTTCTGTGAACGAGGATGAACTATGGTTTTGTTTAGGATTGGAAAAAGTTGCCCCTTTTTCTTTGTATGAGTTTACGTTAGTTACAAGATTAAATCCTGCTAATGAGGAAGAGTATCAGAGTTAAATAAATGAAAATGTTAGATTGAAAACTAAATATTTCTCAACATTCAGTAAGATTACACCTAAAGAATTAAATGAGGCTTTTGAAAAAGAGATAGAACACATGGATGATAAATATAAATTGGGTTAGTTATTATATATGAGATAGTGTTGAGGTCCAAAGAAAAAGATACATCTATAGATCTTCGCACCTTAGATATAGTTGATGATTTGGAGCTATTTAATGGATATCCATGGGGAACAAAAAGTCTTAAATTTACAATACATGCATTCCTAAGAGTGTCGAAGGATTCGAAGCCAAAGTATTCTTTGTGGGGATTTTCGCTAACGATACAGGTAAATGGTCAAAACTTGTAATTAAGACATTATTTTTATTTGATTTTAAATATTTGTAAACAACTTAGACATCTTCTTTCAGGTGTGGGCGTTCAAGTCTATTCCACAAATAGCAAACATGTATTGTGCTAGGTTACTCATCAACGAGTTGTCGAGAATGTGCCGTTGGAAATCAACACTTACTCCTAATTCCCATGATATTGCTAAAGTCTTGGATGACCCACAAGTGAGTATATCTTCTATATTGTAATTACTTTTGCATGTTACCTCAAATATTGCAAAAAGAATTTTTTTTTCAATTATTCAGCTACAAGTTCGTTGCTCATTAACAGCTTCTCCCGATGAGACTGAACAACAGTATGCCAATTTATTCATTCGTGAAACTAGAAAAAAAAGATCCGATCTTGGATGTTTATCTCTATGAGGACCGAGGATATCCAAATGTTGACGATACATTACTAGATGACTATCTAGATCTACCATAGAGTCGAAGGGAGAGAGTCTCTCCAAATACACGTGAAGATGATGTATGTATATCTTTAATGCTATTTTATAATATATTATGATGAATTGGTGCTAACTATATGTTCTCTTATTCCATTAGATGCAAAGTTCGGGGACTGCTCGTGTACATCAACGTTCTGTTCCTACAAGTCGAAGACCTCCACGTAGCCATCGAGCTTCTTGTGACCACGACGATATGTTGTGACAATTGTTGCACCACGTGGAGAAATTATTCGATAAATATGAAGAGATAAATAAAAAGGTCGATACTATAAAGAATTAGATGAGACCAAGCCAACATCTTGATAGAGACTATTCATTTGGGGCTAATGGAGTATTTGGGACTGAGGGAGATAACCATGAGAAAATTAAGAGAGAGATAAATGAAGGAGACACTATGAGAGAGATTGGGACAGGGGATGCTGTAAGGAAATTTGATGGAGGACGCACTGTGATGGAGACAGTGGCAAGGGGCATTGAGATTGAGGTTGAAACAGGGGAGATTAAGAGGGAGGTAATTGTGAAGAACATTGAGAGTGAGGCAGTTGCAGGGAGCATTGAGAGGGAGACTAAAACAGGGGGTGCTGTGATAGATACTATAGCAAAGAATATTGAGAGAGAGATGGATGTAGTTGACATTGAAAATGGGAGTAATGAGAGGATAAGGATGTACACTAAGGTTTTTACTCACAAAAGGAAAATTTTAGATAAAACTTATCACCAAATTGATGCCTTGATACGAGATAAAAGACTTAAAAAAGCTTCAAAGTTAGTTTCTTCTCCATACATGACTGGAGCTAAGTGGAGTCGTTTTTGTTTTTAAGGAAAAATGATTGCAATCATTTAAAACTACCAAAGTTGTTTTCCATTTATCACTTGGTATATGAAATAAATGACTATGAGAAAACTACCCAAAATTCATAAAATACAAATTTGGGATGAATTATGACAAAAATTCATAACATAAAACATAAATTGTAATAACTTGTTATAACATCCTATCAACTAAACAAGCAATATACTAATCCTCCAATCTTATATCGGCTAAAGGTATCTGACTTGTACATGTTAACCGGTTATGTCCAATTGCGGCACGTCTACTACATTTGTGTCTTTTGGGAAACTCTCCAGTAGATAGAATTCTTGTTGTTTTAGTACGCCCACCTCATCGTTGCACTAATGGTAGCAATACATTGAGAAAGCCAAAAGTTTTAGGAATTTCCCAATCAACTTCTTTTGGCACAGGAAAAATAGTATCGCTATAAGCTACTTTCCAATACTCAACAGTATAATACAGAGAGCAGAACAAGTAAATTGAATAGCCACTCTTCTTCACAGCAGTTATTGCATGCTCACAAGGTAAATGTTCTAGTTGAAACCGTCTACAACTACAAGTTTTTTTATCCAGGTTAACAGCAAAATTCATGGCATCCTTCCTCACTTCATATGTTTTGGCAACAAAATTCTTGGATTTATCAACATTCTTACGCAGTTTCTCTTCAATTATTAGCGTTAAAGTACTTGTATAGCTCTGTGCATTCGCACGCCTCTCATAAAATCATTTCTGCAATCTTTTTCTAATACTCTCAATCAGCGCAAGTATCGAATTTTGTCGATCTTTCTTAAATACCAAATTCAGTGACTTTGCATTGTTCGATGTCATGATATTGTAGCGGTTCCCCTGAAAGTGTAACTTGGCCCAAGCATGGAAACATATTTTGACTAAATAATCCCAAGCTTTAATATCAATTCTCTCAATTTTGCTCATATAATTTCCAAACTCTTCTAAAGTATATGCCTCTGCTGCTTTCTTAAACAGTAGGAAAATCTCAGTTTTTCGAGTTACAATACTTAAGTTACCTTTTATATGATATATGCAACGACCATGACGGGCATTTTTATAGATAGCTCGAACTCCATTGATAATACTTGGATGTCGATCAGATATAACAACAAGATCTTTGGTATCTCCCATCACTTCTTTCAACTTCATAAAAAACCAAGTCCACGATGCATTATTCTCATAATCAACTATACCCCAAGCAAGAGGATAAATTTGAATATTTACATCTTGACAAGTAGCAACAATTAGTGTACCTTTATATTTCCCAGTCAAAATGTTTCATCAATGATGACTACATTTCACATTGAAGAGTGAAATCCGCGAATGCAAGGTCTTAGAGCCATAAAAAGTACTTGAAGCGGTTCTCATTGTCAATCTCTGAGGACAATGCTGTTCCAAGATTAGTTCTAGCCAAATTATGAGAATATAAGCCCAATTTAGCATAATTATCCTCAAGGAAACCTCTTAAAAGTTCAAAAGCATATTCTCGTGACTTTCGTACCCTCTGATAACTCATTTCTACCTCGAGTTCTCGACGCATGTCATTAATGATGTCTATAGGTCTATATACAGTGTTGGAATTTTGAAATTTAAGCATTATATGTCTTCTAACAATCCACGATCTTTCCTGTCTATGATCATTTCGATGAATACTCACAGAGCAAGTATGTTCACATGCATACTTGTGGATTTGAAAGTATTTACAATTTTTGAATTTCGTTGCTCGCAAGCACCATTTGCAATTTTCATCTATGCAAACAATTGTATAGACTTCCTTATTTAATTTTGTTGACCCCAAAACAATGTTGTCAACAGATGCCGGACCCACCCACGCACACGTGAGCAAAAGTCTAACACGTTAAGACACGTGGACGGTCTAAAATGAACAGATCAAGGGCGTGGGAGTAGCTCAGCGGTGCGGGATGATAACATTCGAAATCCGACGGGATATCCGTAGACCAATTGTACAATAATTACCAATCGATGTTTGTAATGTGCATCTAAATATGTATGAACTCGTTTGTATTGCAAGATAATAAGAAAGAGAGAGTTGAGTAGAGTATGATTTCTTGTATTGATTCTTGTATTAACCTTTGTATGGGGTACATGGGGGAGTATTTAAAGTGTCATAAGTTAGATCGTGGCCTTTGGTTCGGGGTACACGTGGCCTCATCTGGTTAATTTACATGTCAAATTGTAGGCATCAGCCGCACCTAGCCTGCTATACATTTATTGATTGGCAGAGCCGCCTCTACTAGTGACAAGACTTAACATTTAAACTCATGACAATCGTCCTATCAATCATTCAAGTGAGATCTTTGTGTAGAGGATCCCTTGGGAGAAGTGTCTATGGAAGATGCTGCTTTGTGATTTGGAGGCTGCTACCTCGGCTACAGAACTTTGGCCAACAGGGCCTCAACATATGGACTTCAGAAGCTTCTCAAGAGGTAATGATAGATGGGCCTCGGTATATATGGGCCTAGGCTATGCAAATCACCTCAGCTTGAGTGCCACGTGGTTCAGCATGAGTTGGCTGTGGGCCCCGGTGGGTAGCCCAAGTGTGCAAACACGTAACAATAGTTCCCCAAGTCCAAGTATAGTCATTTATGTAATGCGAGGACTTTGATGAAGTAAAACCAGCCAGTTAAGTTGAAAGAAATTTTTGTATCCCAAATAATAGTCTCCCAAGTCCAAGTATAGATATTTATATTATGGTTGTAGTTAGAAATGTGTTGTTGTGGAAGAATGATGAAGTCGATGTGGTTTGAGAAACCGAACATGCGAGGCTTGTGGAGGCTGAATTCTGATGAGAAAGCTAAGGTGGTTGAGAAACCGAACCTGTGAGGCTTGATTGGCAGAATTTTGATGAGGAAGCTGAGGTGGTTGAGAAATTGAACCTGCGAGGCTTGTGGAGGCTGAATTCTGATGAGGAAGTCGAGGTGGTTGAGAAATCGAACCTGCGAGACTTGATGGCTGAATTGTGATGAGGACGCTGAGGTGGTTGCGAAACCAAACCTATGAGGCTTGATGGCTGATTTCTGATGAGGAAGTCGAGATGGTTGGGAACTGAACCCGTGAGTCTTGATAGCTGAAATGTGATGAGGAAGCCGAGTTGGTTGGGAAATCAAACCTGTGAGGCTTGATGGTTGATTTCTGATGAGAAAGCCGAGGTGGTTGGAAAATCGAGCCTGCGAGGCTTGTGGAGGCTGAATTATGAGGCTCACTGGTAATGATTGTTTCTCGACAATTGTGCCAATGATTTGATGTTTTACGTATATTTCAAGGAAAGGTGGCTGGACCATTCAACTTCCAAGGTGTCTGATGCAATTGAATTAAAGTCGTAATTATGAGCATAGCTGGAGCTTTTAGAAGCATACGCGTTTGGGGAGGTGCGTGGAAGACACGCTTGAATCTGAAGCATAGGTTTGAAAAATTGTTTGAATTCTACGCCTCAGATTTGATTTAGAATGAAGAGTCCAGATTCAATGGGCTTTGATCAGACGGCTGGGGTTCGTCCTAGCCCCTTTATAAAAGGCGAAAGACCCCCCATTTTTTGGATTTTCGACCATTGTAATATGATTTCTTCTTCAAAAGCTCAAGTTTTCTAGCGTTGCTCCATTCGCGTAGTCATTTTCCATAGGTATTTTCGCAGAAAATCCCTTGTATTGAGTTTATCCTTTTCTGATATGGAGTCCACCTCAGGTAGGGAATTAATAACTGTTGCGTCATTCGGTGAGGGGGCTAGTCACATAGGGGACTCCAAGGTCGAGCAATATGCTATGACTGAGGAGCCGGTAGATTATAGTGAGGAGTGGAGGGTGTCCAGAGTACATTCAAATATGACCTTGAAGAGGCTGGGAGAGATCAGAGAGAGGTACTGTGTACCTAATTATGTCGAAATGTTGGTGCCCGAGGCTCATGATCGTGCCTGCTATTCGTGGCCCGGAGGCGTGGCGGTGAGTGAATACCTATTTAAGGTAGGTATGCGTCTTCCTTTGCACCCCTTCTTTAGGGCGGTGCTAAAGAATTTTATGTTTTCGTCGACCCAAGTTTTGCCAAATGGGTAGAGTCAGTTGGTTGGTTCGTACTTCCTGTGGAAGGAAGTGTCACTTGGGGAGGACATGCTTCTCCACATTTTCATGACCCTATTCCAGCCTAGGGTGATAGGTAAGGAGTCAAGGGGTGATATTACTTAACTCCTTGGGGGGCTCACGCACCATTTGTGGTGGGGCTGCTTTCTTCCATCAAGGGATGGAAAGAATCGTGGTTCTGGGTGAGGGGCAGGTGGCAGGCAGTGGAGGGGGACACAGCCTTGGTTTGCATAGTACCGACCCATTATTATGAAACTCGTGAGTCTCTCAGCTTAAGTAGTTTACGTTCTGTATTCAAATTTTCTTTTTCTAACTGTTGAGGCTTGCTGTGCAGATAGTAGTACGACGTTTGAGTTGAGCAAGGAGGAGTTTGAAGTGATAGAGGACATTTACAAGAGACCTCTAAAACTTCGACACTTTGACCACCTCATCTACCAAAGCCACTACTTCATTGACTTTGAATTGATGGCCTCCAAAGGTAAGAGGTTTGTATACTTGTGTATTTCTTACTTTTTGTTTCGATGCTGATGTACTGACATGCTTTACAGACAAGTTCAAGAGGAGGGAGTACCCAGCCCCAGACATGGCTTCTATCCTTAAGGCCACATCTAATGTGACGGCGAGGCCCATGAAGCCGGGGCAAGTGGTGCCAAGGAGGTCTGGGGGAGGGTGGAGCGCCTCTCCAAAGATAGCATTTCTAGGGATGTTGAGGAGGGGACCCTCCAGAGGCCAGAGAAGGCCAAAGAGCCTCGGGGAAAGGAAAAGGACCCCAAGGAGTAGAAAAAGAGGAAACTGGTGCACGCCACCAGCTCATCTGGGAAGTTCGGGACCTCTGTGTCCCATGAAGGAAAAGAAGCCCCTCAGCCGAAGCTCCTGGAGGCCGTCTCAAAAGCGGTGAAGATTGAAATGGTACGGCACGCCGAGGCTGAGGAGGCTGCGAGAAGGGCGGCTGAGAAGGCAGAGTACGAAGCTCCTAAGCAGAGGCCCGCAAGAGTGCAAGGAAAATCTCCAAACTTCCTTCCCAGGAGGGAGGAGGTCCTGGCCCCGACATTGGTGGAGGCTCTACCAATTGAGATTCGAAGCGCTACTGAGAGCTTCTACAAATTCTGTACGGACCAGTGGCAGTTACACGCCTCTTTCTGTGACGCGGTGGACTTGGCAACGGCCTTTGTGAGCCAAAGTGTGGGATCTTTGGCCTCACATTGAAGTGCAGGAAGGCCTTTATTGATTTTTAGACGAGGACCCAATCCTCGAAAAAGAAGGTGACCTCCCTCGCAGAGGAGCTGAAGACCTAGGCACAAAAAATCTAAGACGCAACCAAGCTGGAGTCTGCTTTGGCTCAGATTGAAGCCTTGAAGAAGGTCTATGAGTCCCAGTGCGAGGTAGATTCCCTTACCAAGAAAGTGGAGGTCTCCAGTGACCATCAAAAGGTGACTACTGAGGCCTTGGAGAAGGCCAATCTGGAGCTGGCTGGGGCCCAAGATGCCTACAAGTTCTTGGAAGGCCAAATAAAGTGGCATGTGGATGAATTTGCCAAGGCAAATGAGGAGGCGAGGGAGGAGACGGCCAAAGACTACATTGCCAACTTTCACAACACTGAGGAGTACAAGGGCTTCAGCATCTACTGGAGAAATTATGCTTATGTCGAAATGATGGAGAGGGCTGAGGAACTCTACCCAAATCAAGACCTATCATAGCTGAGGTCGAAGTTTGTGGATGAAGTGCCTCAGACCCCAGCTGATGAAACGGTTGGGGATGAAGCAGCGAAAGTAGAAGAAGGGAGTTCTGATGCTCAGGCTGCGGAGGCTCCTCCACCATCATCCGAAGCTTAGGATGGTTTACTTCTTAGTTAATTTCGATGTACTGGCCCCAGGCCCTCCTTTTGTAACTGATTGAAAATTAATATAATCTCTTTCATTCAATGTTGTTCTTCTTCCAAGTGCATTGGTCTCGTTAGGTAATTGAACTTAAGATTGATTGAAGAATTGAATAACCTTGACTTGATATCCCAACTTCAATCACTTAAGCAAGTAAATTGTACTTAGGCTAAACAAATGTAACCTGAATAGATCCTAAGACTGGACCGTCTTTCAGCTGAACTGAGAACATTGCTAGGTCTGATTGAAAAGGTAGTTGCGTAAAGCTCGTAGTGGTTGAGCCTTGTGAATCAATGGGTAAAGAAGTTCGATCATCGTTGATGCTTCTTCTCTTGGCTTTCAACCTCGCCAAAGGGAGGCAAGTTGCGTGAGGCTCGGAGTTCAAGCGAGGTAGCCCAGAGATGGGACGCGGACCTCTCCTCCGAAGTGACGACGCTTCCTAACATAGTGGGCACCCATGTTGAGACTTCTCCTAGTGGCGTTCAGCTTCGCCAAAAGGAGGCAAGTGGCATGAGCCTCGGAGTTCAAGCGAGGTGGCCCAGAGATAGGACGCTGACCTCTCCTCCGAGGTGACGACGCTTCCCAACATGGTGGATGGTTCATCCATGTTGAGGCTTCCCCCAGTGGCGTTCAGCCTCGTCAAAGAGAGACAAGTGGCGTGCGCCTCGGAGTTTAAAATCTAGCGAGATGTTCATAGACCGATTGTACAATAATTACCAATCAATATTTGTAAATGTGTATCTAAATATGTATAAACTCTTTTGTGTTTCAAGATAATAAG